TCTTTCCCTTAAACTCAACAATCACACTGTGCATTTCTTTTACAATGAGGTAAGTGAAGAAAGGGTTGCAGTATAACAATAAGAGGACTTCAATTAGAAATTTATAGCAATTTGGCACGTATTCTGTTTAGTCTCTTGTCTCAGCATGCCCTGCATTTATTTGTATAATGGTAATATCGATTAGGGAGAATTCATTCGTGGGGATCTCTGCAAAAGCATGATAAAGAGGGTCTTTGTCCTCATACAACTATAATTTTAAAAAGTCTGAAAGTTAGTGCTACATTGGACTCTTTCAGTAGTTATGAAGTCTTCTTCCCTGAGAATTTAACTTGTTTATGCCATGTTTTCTTGTGCTTTTATAAACAAGATCTTTTCTGTTGCACCACTTGTCTCTGAAAGGCTTGGTCAAAGTATAAAAAGCCGGAGTAGTTAAGGCCAAAGTTGAAATGGTTTTTTCCCCTCACTCCATTCCTCTTCTTGCCAGAAGAGGGCATTAAAGCACTGGATATGTGCAGTTATCCTGGCAAGCTCTTACGCTTAAAGCAGTTTATTTTAATGCAGAGCTACAAATGCAGCTGACTGCATTGTAAAAATAGTTTGGATTACTTAAGTAGAAGGTAAAAATATCAGAGTAATATATGGAAAGCATTCTTCATACAGAATCCTAACATATTCTGTACATGTTTTGGTTAATTCATGAACACTTTCTTTCCTCTTGTTACAGCACACTAATGACTTTGCTTTGTACACTGAAGCTATTAAATTTTTTAACCACCCAGAAAGCATGGTCAGGATTGCTGTTAGGACTATAACTTTAAATGTCTACAAAGGTATGCTTTTTATATATTTAAAAAGGTATGTGTACAAAATGTTTATTTCATTGTAGTTTGATTTCCAGTTATTTACATTTAAGGGTTTTCTGTCTGGCTTATGACATTGAAAAGCTTAGCATGTTGACATGCTTCAGATACATACTTTGGTTTTTATGAAATGGAACCCCAAGCCTATGCACTGAGGAAATCACAGATGAAACTGCTTTAAAAAAGCCAAAAGAGTATCAAGCATACACATGAAGCTTTAGCTCCCCTTCCAACAGAGATCAGAATGTGAATGTATTTAAAAAAACAAACAAACATAACCCCAAAACCAAAGTGCTTTAAGAATATCAGGTATTTTTTATGTATAAACTTGAGCTTTATAATGTATGAAGCAGTAACCTTGCTGGCTGCATCACTTCCTTTTAGAGTTGAAGCGCATTAGAATATGATTATAGGTGCTGCAGTTGCTCCAGGATAATGAAGACAGAGCACCAGAGGTGCCCAGTGAAGGCCAGGAGGCTGCAGTCGCCCATTCCTGTACTGGATGTTCCAGCAGGACATAAGGGGGAAAAAAACAATACTTCACTGTGAGACTAGTGAAGTGCTGAGACAGGTTTTCTAGATAAACTGTATTGTCTGAGATCTTCAAAACTTAACAAGGCCCTTAGCTACCTTGTTGGACTTTGAAGTTAGTGCCACTTTGAGAACAAGTTTGGACACTTTGAAATTGCACAACTTCCTGCCAATTAAAAGACGTAGTGATTTGATGACAGTCTTCATCATAGAGGAATATGAGATCTTTTTTAAAACAGTGAACAACTGGCTTTGCAAAAATCTGGAAGCCTGCATAACAGGTTCTTTATAGAACCCACTATAAAGTGTTGGCTGCAAAGGACAAAATGTCTTTTTTATATTGAGAAATGGGCACTTGGTACTTATTTTCTACTTCAAAGAGATGTAAACCCAAATATGAGCTCAGAAAAAGAGCAAAGTGCATGCTTTGTATCCTATTTGTTATATATTTATATAACTAAATATTTTTATGGTAAAAAAAAATGACGTCTAGAATTTTCATTGAGTGTTGTAGTGATATAAATGTTAGAGTTGAAAAAACATAGCTCGGATGCTCAGGTTTCATGATTCTCTGACTATGCATTTGCATATGTTCTGATCTAACACCTACCCTGTATCTTTTAGTTTAGATGCTTTGTGCTTTAGCTTTTTAAACCCTTTGGAGGATGTCGCTATCCCAGTTCCTAACCCTGTTAACTGTTGTCTGTTTCTTTTGCCCTTCCTTCACTGATGATTCCCGTGTTCCTTAATGCAGTGTCATGTAAGTCTAACTAGCTTGACCTTCAGCATTACTGCTTTATTCTTACGCTTTTTTTTCCTCTTCTTTTTAATAAAGAATGTGCTAAAAAAGCCTTTCTGAATTCCGCTAGATTTGTTTACCTTCAGACCTGTGTACATATATCGATATTAGGCTCATTCCAGCCAATTAAGAATTGATATGATGCTTTTGTAGCTGTCCATTTCATGCAAAAGATCATGTCAGGTATATATTCATATGAAAGGCTAGCATGTAATCCAAATTCAGAAGGCACTTTGTATTTCTTAACAATAAAAAAAAAAAAAGGTAACTGATTTTTTTCTTTTAACAATTTCTCTTCAGTGGACAACCAACCTATGCTGCATTACATTAGAGATAAAACTGCTGTCCCTTATTTCTCCAACCTCGTTTGGTTTATTGGAAGCCACGTGATAGAACTGGATAACTGTGTGCAGACTGATGAAGAGTAAGCTTTTACAAATGCCGGGTATTGAATGGAAATGCTTTTCCCATCCAGATGTGGATACTCCCCTATGTTGTCTGTAGTAGTCCAGTTAAGTTAGTTCCCGAAAGCGTTCCCCTGTAGTCAGTTCAAGCTATTCATTCTTGCAACATTTTTAGTGATTCTTTGAAATAAGTGGTTAGTGCTGCATGCCCTGTCTCTGCTAATAGCCATACAAGTAAATTAGTGTTTGGCAATATATATCTTTTTATCTTTGTTTTAATTCTGCTAGTAGATACTAGCAGATAGTAGATACCCAGGAGACACAAAACGTATTTTGTGCTTCTTAGTCTTACTAACTTTGCCTTTTTAATGTTTCTTTTCTGTTTATCATCTCATTAGAACAGCTTTCTCATAGTACTTTACTTTGTAGTAAAAGTATTTCAACTGGAAAAACGAACTTTATTTCATAAGTGAACCGTCAGACCTGAAATTCCTGCATAATATTCCACTATCAACTACAGAAATATGTTGTTGGTTCAGGTTATTCTTGGTTTGTCTTCCCACCTCCACCTGGGAATGGGTGGCTGATTCTTGCTTTCTTAAAGTGAAGAGGTAGACGTTAAACACAGCATAGATTTCTTTCATTTTTGAAAACAAATCTTATTACGTTTTTTACAGTTGGCTTGTGAAAAGAGACTTGCAGTGGAAAGTGAAGTTCTGTAAAAACATTGCTCCTGAAAACTTTGGGAAGAGCTTGATAGGTGCATCCTAAACCACTTATAAGCCTGAATACTGTTTGTTAATGGCATTTGTTGGCTTTAGTGAAAACACCTTTAGGCAGTCAGTCTGTGCAAGGGATACACGTGAATTCTTTCCTTAAGTTTTTAAGACTTCAAGAGTTGATTATTTCTGAGACTTTCTTTCTGCTCTCTTTTTCAGGCACAGAAATCGGGGCAAACTAAGTGACCTGGTAGCAGAACATCTTGATCATTTACATTACCTTAATGATATCCTTATCATTAATTGTGAGTTTTTAAATGATGTGCTGACAGACCATCTACTTAATAGGCTCTTTCTTCCCCTCTACGTGTATTCATTAGTAAATCAAGACAAGGTAAGCGAATATATGCAAACAATTCTTAGAGGTATTACTTGCTTTCAGTGGGCACAGTGATTTATTCAGCAGATGTATTCTGTAGTAGAGCTGCTACTGTTGATATCTGTGTTTGTGTGTTTAACATGCAACAGCTTCAATAAGGTGACTGTAAGGGAAGTACCCCAAGACTGAATTTAAGGGCAGAGTTGATGAAACTTTATTCACCAAACAAATGCTGTTTTGGACGACATGGTTGTTAGATGCCAACGATAGTGAAGATGAGGAGAGCTGCAAATTTGGAACAGGGTTTAAATTTTTCTGATGCTGGGAGGTGTGTGATGTCCTTTTCTGGTATGGTAACTTGTCTCCTGGCAAGAGCAGGTTACAATGCCTTTTCCCAGAATATGTGCAAACTTTCCATGGTGTAAAAAGCCACTCCAGGTAGAAAATACAAACTTTTGGTTTTGATACTTGATTATTCTATTTCCAGATAAGCTATGCTTGCATGTGCTGTAGTTGAATTTCTTTTTAAAGCATAGCCTTTAAATTCAGTGGAAAGCTAATTTTTAATGAGATAGAAGCTACTTTTAAATCCAGTACAGGTTTCTGTATTCACATGTCTTAAAAAAATATTAAAAAGTGAACTGTTCAGTTCATTCCTGGTTCCCACTCCTGCCCCTCACCCCCTGCCTTCTTACTCTGTAGTTGTGTTTGTTCTTAAGATATACGATGCTTTGTGCTTTTAATTAACTACAGGTCGGGTTTATTGCAGATTAAGTAATTCAGTATATTGCATGTGCACTGAAGATTAAATAAGTCAGGTTCTTGTCTTGCTGTTGAGAAGGCCATTGAAATGGGGTAGAGCAGATTTTCTGAGCTTGTGTACAAAGCTCTGCTTGTCCTCCTGTTTTCAGGCAGATGTGTCTGTTACCATGAGGTCAGAGATATTTGCGATGGTGAAGTAGGCCTGGTCTTACCTCTTGAGATAACTGATTAATTCATTTGGTGATAGTTTTTAAACCATCACTGATTTATTTTTAGAAACATTTTTGTTATTGCTGGTATATACATTTGGCACTGTTGTGCTCAAGTTGTACTTCAAATATTTTTGTCCGATGTGATTTACTTGATTTAGAGAAGTGTCTGTCCAGAATGTGGTTTTATCATATGGGTAATATTCTGTTGTTTCTGAATAGCTGATTTTTAGAGCAGACTTTAATGAATGTTAGCCAAGAAGTACTTTTGGAAGGAATTAATAGCATACTGAAAACCAGTTTATTTTGCAGATGCTCATCTGTTCCATTTAAGTTACCAAAGTGACTATGAAAGACAGCAGTCAATAGTGATGTTTTGTTTTTAAGCATGTAAAGTAAGGGATACGCTTATTTGGAGATTCTTCATTTGCAATACTTTACAAGAAGTGAATGCTAAAGAGCATGGTGCTTTCTGAACATTGTGTCACAGGATGTGGAACAACACAGTACTAAAAGTTTTGGTTTAAATCAGTTTAAATGCTTTAACTTTGTGTAAAGAATTCAGCATTTTTCATAATGGTTTTTTTTTCGGTAGGGTGGAGAGCGTCCAAAAATAAGTCTCCAAGTTTCTCTCTATCTTCTTTCTCAAGTAAGTATTTAAAGTATTTTGTCCTGTTTCAGAATGTTTTGCAGTGGTGTTGTGATTTATAAATTGCTGTATTTTCATCTCTTTTGGCAAAGACATTCAAGACCATTTGGCAAAGTTATAAACTTATCAGTTTCCATTTAAAAAGACTCAAAAAAAAAAAAAGGCAAGCAAGATCATTTGTCTTTTAATGGGAAAGCCCAGATAGCTTCTTACTTGAGTTGGTGTCACTCTTCTGAGGATCCGCAGCACAGGGCAGCCTTTAGAGCATGCAGTGATCACAGCTCATGTCCACCACTGGGCAGATGGTGCCTGAGGGAGCCATTCCATGTGCTAGGGCAGAATTCAGTACAGTCAGGTGATGTTTAGATAGTTGCTGCATTGCACTTTGTATCTGCCTAAGCTACGGAAGATTTGACTTTTCCTCTTTGAAAAATAGAGGCAGCAATGAACTCCCAGGTGGTTTTTTGATTGTTTTTTAACCTCCCCAAAAAGAAAAATCACCACCACCAAAACTTAGACTTTCTCACAACTTTAATTTCATCATGCCTATACCTTTAATCTATAATTAAGTACTTTTTTTCCCTTAGTCTTACCAGTCCCACCTCTTTTTCTTTCTGGAACTTATTTTGAGATGAAGAAAGTTTTTTTTACAATGGATATTTTTATTTAATTGTCGAGAACAATAATCTTTTCTCTCTGAATTCTTTGGTGCATTGCAGCGAGACTGGTTTTCTTATGTTCTCTGAAGATAGTTTTGAGTTGTGTTCTTAGAATTTATACTTCTTTTTTCTTGGAATTTATGGTTTTACATTAATCATTTTAGTATGGTCTGTCTCTTAATTCCCTCCTTTCTTTTAAGAACTTTTCTGAAAAAGGTGTTTTTTCAGGATAATTTATTGCTTCTTAATTTAAACCTAAACAGTTCTGATGTTGTGGGAGTTATTTAGCACAGCCAATACCTTGGGACCAACAGCTCCTTGTAACTAAAGGGATCTGTGCCATGAGGTTGGATATGTTGACCTCTTAACCTCTTTGATTTCAGAGAAAGTATAGGTATCACTTCAAGATTTCAATCTGTGTTCTTTGTTGCTTTTAATAAAGGAAATGGAACTTTATTCCTAACCATAACGAATTTGGAACACATTTTGCGTATCAGAATGGGATGTGATGTAGAAAAATCAAGCTACTTTTTCTGTAATGGGCAGAAATGCACCTTTTTCTGCCTCTTTTTAACCTAGAGTCTGTCTTAGATGGAGTGGGGTCTGAAAAAGTATACACTGAGTATCTGAAAGAAACACTGGAACTATTTCTGTTATTGACACCGGGCATACAATTTAGAGGCAAGTACTTGAGAGACTTGTGAAAATCCACTGGTCACCAAAGTGAACGTGTAACATTCTTATGCCCAAACATGCCTGTGTATAACTGAGCTACGCTTTCTGAATTAGCAGACACTCGATTGATTTGTGAGGTTGTTTGAAGTATTTTTGAAGTGTGCTGCAACTTTCCAGTTTCCATAGGTCACATTCACTTTTGAAGGGCTGGAGTGGTCCTGCCTTTAATGAGAAAACCTATGGAGATGATGTTTGGCTAAATACTGTCAAAAGGTTTACTGATTTAGAATTTATTCGGGGATTTTTCAGCTAGAACCACTGTTTAAGGATGCGGCTTTGATATTCCTGTGAAGAATATGGATCAGACCTGACATAACGCCGGTTCTGTCCAGAAGCCAGTTCTTTGCTGGCCCAACCTTGTATGCCTTGCCTCAAAATAAAGTGGTTAGTGTGAACAGGAAGCTCTGTTAAAGCACTGAAGCACTTCTGGATAAGCGCCACAATGTTATAGGCTATCTAGCCCTTACTCCTGTGTTATGTAGCTGCTTTGTAGCTAGACAGTAATTTATTGTGATTTCACAGCCAGAAAAGCTGCTTCTGATCCAGTTCAGCCTATTGCACGGCATTTACATGAGTCACTGCAAAGTAATTGTGTGTGCACCACACAGAAATTCCTGGAGTCCTGCCAGTTGTTGGCATACAAGAAGGTCAGTGGGTGCAGTGTACCGGAATCAGTTTGTGTAGTTAAAAGAAAACCCCAATTTTCTGGAGCAGTTTTAATTTGGGTTCCTTGCTAGATCATCACGCAACTTTTATCTCAAAGCTGATGACAAGAGACAATTTACATTGCTCAGAAGGAAGGAAGTGTATGATGAGTTATTAAAACTAGATAGCTTAAATTGTAGAGAAAGGTCAAATACCTGTAGAGAGGATTGTGGTCTCATGTGTTTTGAAGTAGATTTGGTGAACTATCAGTGTTACCAACTGTACTTTACTGTATAGGTAAACTTCAGATACCAGTTAACAAGGTCAAAGAAGTATGCTCAGTGACTGAAATTGTGAAACTGTACATGTTCTGTAATATTTGATGTTTATTTCCACCTTTCTTTTAACAGGTATTTCTAATTATACATTACGCCCCTTTGGTGAACTCGTTGGCTGAGGTTATACTTAATGGTGACCTCTCAGTGTTTTCTTCCAAAGTTGAGCAAGACATACAGAAAAACTCAGTAAGTGGCCAACTAATCTTTAATATTTTTTTTAGAGGCAAAGAAAATATTTGAAAAACAAAATCAGGTATCTGGAAACTGGTAAGCTAAGATGATTTGTGTTTAGGAGAGAAGAGCAGCAATAGGAGATTTCAGCTTTTGTTCTTAGATACGATAGCAGGAAAATGTTCAGCGCAGCTTCCAATGTTCGTGTCAAAGTTGTGGTACTTTTTGTGCATGCATATTTATTTCAGGTAGTGGTGCAAGAACGTGTAGGACACAAAATACTTTGTTCTTTCCGGGGGGGTCAGATACTGCAAAGGTTTCAGTCATTTTGATGGGACACTTTTGTAATCCAGTCTGTGTTCAGTTTTGTTTTCAGCTCTTTGGCAGTGACAGAGTAATGAGTCATCACAACTTTCCTGTGAAGTTATTTCTCTCTGCAAGTTGTAGTAGAAATGAGAGACTTAAGAGAAGTACATGGCTTGATGGTAAATCCTTTGGTCATAGAAGGAAGTAAAGGTTGGCATTTGAATACTCCCAGTGTTTTAGATCATCCCTGAAAGTATGCATCAATGTGCGTAAAAGAATGTAGAGCAGCCACAAACAGATGGAAGTGCTATCACTTTGTCATTGCCCTTGTACCTTCAAATTTAATCCTGTGTAGATGTTGCTAGAGGCTGTTGTTGGTTTTTTTCCAAGTGTGTCATGTATGTGACTTTTTCCATTTTGGGTTTCACAGTTTGTGAAATGCTTGCTTGTAACTTTTTGGGGAGGGTATTAAGAAGGTGATATGAGCTTACTTTGGTTAAGAGGCTTCTGACTGTAGTTCTCTCTAAAGATTAAGCACATGCCTTAATGTCTGACTGGTCAGCAAAGAATTAGTGGCTGAATGTTTAATTTATAACAAGCAGTAGGTTGATCCCTATGCACGTTCTTTCCTAGCCGTGGCTATAGCCCTGAGTGTTTCAAGGGGGAGACATACTTCAACTCTTCCATGACACAAGTCAGCTTTTCCAAGTTTCTTCTTACTGTGCAGTGGAAGCTGTGTGGGCTGATCTTAGCCCGTAGCTTTTGGGTTCTGGTGTTTTGTACCGTTAACGTTGATATTTAGAATCAATCTTTTCTAGAAAAAACTGGAGCGGCATGGTATTGCTGGCTGAATGCTTTAAGATAAAGCAGTCTCTTACTGGTGTTAGCAAATGACTGACCTCCTGCTAGCAGAATGCTGTGTGTGTTACTTGTGCAGAAGCAGCTTTTTTACTAGGGAATTTGTGGCAGGAGGGTGGGGCACCACTTGTTGCAGAAGCGAGATTTTCTTTTCCTGTCATAGTTACTGTACAGAGTTGCAACATGTCTGTGACATGTGTTGGTGTGCTTGCAGTAATGTTAGGAATACTAGGGATTTCCTATAAACTTGTGTTCATCTGTTCTCTTCTGTTTGTAATACTACTTAGTTTGCTGGTCTTACTGGTCTTTAAGATGTGTCCTCATGGCATGTAAACTGGGAGTTCCGTCATACCTGCACAGATAGTAAATAGGAGGAGTATTGGCTGTCTGTCTTCAGACACTGAGCAAAACTGCTAAAGGTGGAGTTTTGTTACAGGGAGAGTAGATCGGTGGCTCTTTTGCTGGGTAAGAGAACTTCCATGGGTGAAACTTTAGTTCTTAGGAAATTCAGCCTTGGAGAGGAAAACATGTACTGCCAGAAAGCATCTTGGTGGAGGTGCTTTCATTTGCAGAAAGAGCAGGGAGTAATCTTCAGCAGAATTGCTCCCTGCCCTGCATCCCGTGAGGGGAGCTATCAAGTGCTCTCAGTTGATGAGTATGAACCACTGCGACATACATTGCATGGTGTTTTCTGCTGATGTACAACTCCATGCAGTGAGGCTAAAGTCAGCTGTAGATATGGAGGCATAGATAGGTAAAGGTGAGGTAGTTTCTTGTTGCACTGTGATAGGACTTCTTAGAGCAGAAAGTTGTTTTTTGAGCATTGTTAGCCATTTCAGGGGCTGTTCTTTGGGCTATGAGGTGTACCAGCATCATTGCAAAGTTATTACTGTGCTGTGTTCTGTTGCAAAGAAATAAAAAACTTGTGTTGAGTAATGGAAGCTATTTCAGAAGCTACTTTAGAATTGCTTGTTCTGGGGTTAGTAAAGTGATAATATACTTAATATACTTTTATATGTTTATATTTATGGGTTTATATATATATATATTTTTAAATTCAAGTGTAATTGTCAGTGTCCAGGTAACTACCACAGTGTTTCTAAAACTCAAAGTAAGTAGAAACTTACGTCCATATTCATATTCCTAATAAGATGCATTAAAATCAGAATCACAGAATGGTTTGGGTTGGAAGGGACCTTAAAGCTCCCCCAGTCCAGCCCCTGCCATGGGCAGGGACACCTCCACCAGACCAGGCTGCCCAAAGCCCCGTCCAACCTGGCCTTGAACACTTCCAGGGAGGGGACATCCACAACTTCCCTGGGCAATCTGTGCCAGTGTCTCACCACCCTCACAGGGAAGAATTTCTTCCTAATATCTAGTCTGATTATTTATCTATCTATCTATCTCCAGACTTATTTAGGGCAAAAGAGCATTGGTAGTTGTCACAACAGGAATGAGTGATAATTTCTATTGGAAATCAATTTGTGGAAAAAAATCACCAGCTGATCTAACTGCTGATAGCTTGTGAATTGGCAGTAACCTGCCCATGGAGATCTGCTCAACATTGTAGGGCAGTAACGATTGCCCAACCTCCACTGAGCAAGTTCTCTGCCTCAAAGTATAGCAAATCAAGATTCTTTCCATATTTTTCACTGTATTTCTGTTTTGCATTAGCATCAGAATAAATACTCTTATCTCGTGATGAGAGTTGAATATGTGTAGCTGATAGAATGTATGTAAACTTGTTAGCAGTCATTGCATTGAGGTTTACCTTATTTCCTGTGAGATGTGTTTTCCTGCACAATTCGGATGTGGGCCAGTTCTACCTATTTCATGTTTCTTGGTTTCTTGTTTAACCTACTTTCTCCTTCCTGTAAAAGTTGTTACTGGTACTGCCTTATTTTACCAGCACACATTGCACAAGATAAACCATAGTTGAAAATATGGTTGAAAGACATCTTAAAAGTATATAAATAGCAGTATCTCAAACTGTAGAATAAACTTAGGTAAATTATATACTATGCAAATTAATTTTAAGTTTGACTTTAGAATGTTATATAGCCTTGTTACATTTAGCAGAACAGAATATGTCTGTTGACTTTTTCTCAGTGTTCTTTCTAGAGATGGACCAGACTGTGGCTCAGTGTTCATGAGCACATCTCTGGCTACTGCTCTTCTTTGTTACTTTGCTCGTATGGCTAACAGTCCATTAGAAGTGCAAGGATGTTACATACGTGCATTCTTCATAAAGCAAGTAGCTACAGGATTCTAGGAAGCAACTGGAAGAAGAAAATACAGGAAGGGAAAAGTACAATATGCAACTTGCTTGCTGCTTTTCTTTTTTTCCCTAAAGAATAGGTCGTAATGTGTTCTTCCCTTTTCTTATGACCTTTCTGACCTGAAGCCATCAGTAAAAGGTAGTGTGGTTGGGACTCTGGTTGTTTTATAAGCTTCCTATGCTGCAGTTTGATCAGCCTAAAAATACATCAGCGAGGTTACTGGGGGGTGTAAGTGTGGTGTTTTCACATTGTGGGATTTTTTTAGTATTGTGAAAGATTCCTCCTCCTGTATGGTTTGTGTTAGTGCCAAGTGTAAGCTAACTTATGCAAGATTTCTATAAAACCTCTTTGAAAAGTCAGAAGATTCAGAGAAACATTTTGGGCTTCTGACTTGCAGAAGGCTTCTTACCAGATGTTTTCCTAATCTCTTATTTTTTTATGTGGAAGTGTTCCTTCTGAGTGAAGGGAGAGACTTTTCCAAACTTTTTCTCTGAGATCTTTGATGCACTCATCTTCAGTGCTTATTGTACTTCAGTCACTGCAGGCAAGGAACAGAATCAGTTTTGTCTTTACTTTAGTCTTCTTTTCTCTTGCTGGCCCTTAAATTTTTAACCCTTCAGCCAGCATCAACTAAATGTGATTGAAGTGTTGAGGTCTGAAAGGTGTTGAAGCTTCTGTAGCGGTCTCGTTCAGCATAAACCTGTGCTGGAAGGAAGCTCCCAGACCACGTGTTGCACTTCTCAGTAACAGGAGAGGTTTGGCTGATCCATGTTTATAGCTCTGTGTGAGAGAGAGCATGGGCTCTGGTGATGCAGCTGGCAGGCCTAACAAGTAAGAAGGGAACTCAAAGCATCACAGCTCAGAAACAACCTGCAAAATTGTAGGAAACCAAGTTTTGTTAGTCCTGCTATTCGGAGAACTTTTTGTAGTGTCTTGTGTCTCTCCATAAAAATATCACAGAATCACAGAATCCCAGAACGTTAGGGATTGGAAGGGACCTCAAAAGCTCATCCAGTCCAATCCCCCTGCCGGAGCAGGAACACCCAGATGAGGTTACACAGGAAGGCGTCCAGGAGAGTTTTGAATCTCTCCAGAGAAGGAGACTCCAACCTCTCTGGGCAGCCTGGTCCAGTGCTCTTGTCACCCTCACTGAGAAGAAGTTTCTTCTGAAATTTAAGTGGAACCTCCTGTGTTCCAGTTTGTGTCCGTTACCCCTTGTCCTATCATTGTTTGTCACCGAGAAGAGCCTGGCTCCATCCTCGTGACACTCACCCTTTAAATATTTATAAACATTAATGATATAATATGTTGTATATTAATAATATGTTATCTGTTGTTAGGATGGCACAGATTATGGAAGTACTTATTTCCTCTGGGAGAAATTTGTCATCTGTATTTATTTTCTTTCTCTGTAAATTAGTAATTAGGAAAATCAAGTACTGATTGAATACTGTTTGCCTTCTTGTCCAAAAACAGTGTTTGGACTTGAAAGAGAAACTTGGTATCTTTGGGTAGAACACAAGTGTGTTAGTCTAACAGATGAAGTGGTGTTGGTTTTCCAGACTTGATAAGTCAATGTCTGGAGGCCCAAAAAGGTTGATGTCAGTGCCATGTGGTACTGGTTGATACAAGGACTAATATGCTACTGGGGGAAGCTTAAGATTAAAAACTTGTAGCACAGAGCACTGGTTTTTGTCCTTGCTCCTGCCAAGGACATTTGAAGAGTATACTTCATATTAATACACTGCTGTCAACAAACACTTCGTGTTTTGCTGCCTTTACCCTTTTTGCAAAAGATGTCTTAATTTGGTGTGTACTAGCTGCCTCACCTGTTAAGAAAGTTCAAAGAAAGGCAAAAAAACCCTAAAACCTTTTCTCAATAAAATAGGTAGTTTTGTATCTTCTTTTCTCAAGATGGCATACTTGTTAATGATAGATCTTCAGGATATCTTTGGAGATAATTCTTCTACTGGTGATTTGAGACAGCTTGAGGTCTGCTTTATTGTATTTTTAGGAGGTTTTGGGATTTGTGAGTGGTATGCTAATTTACATTTCTGAAAACACTTTTATATGAACTGAAGTTTATAAATTGGAAATAAAACTGTAACTCGGTGTAAACTCTTCAAATTTACAGGCAAAGTCAAGTATCAGATGCTTCATAAAACCAACAGAAACACTTGAGAGGTCTCTTGAAATTAACAAACAGAAGGGGAAGAAGAGGGTGCAGAAAAGACCCAACTATAAAAATGTTGGTGAAGAAGATGAAGAGGAGAGAGGCTCTGAAGATAACCAGGATGACCTCGATAAAACTAAAGGTACAGAAGTGAGTTCAAAGAGCATCAGAACAAGCACTGAAAATGAAGGTGAGTGTACCAGCAAATAAAAACTATGCTTACAGTTTGGATACTTTTATTTACTAGTATAGTTGTGATCTGTTACATGACTTGTTCTCTTGTTGCACTACGGAAACTCAGGACTATTAAATGTGTTTCAGTCTTTGGCTGTACTTGTTTCTCATGTTAAATCATTCTGTCACAACGTGTGCTTCTAATCTGAGTAAATACTATGGAAGTATCTTCATATCTTCCTGTAGTCCTCAGCCCTTATAAGAAATGCATGCCTTGCACCTACGTATAGGTAATTATGGGGCACTCTGTAAGTAGACTTCACATCTTTGTAACTTTGCCTTCTGTGGTAAGGCCAATGGTGTAGCCACTTTACCTTTGTAACATGGTCTGGAGTATTTTGTGCATGCTTTGATGATAAAGTTCAACAAGTGTTCTAAAAGTGACAGTATATGGTAGAAGATATTAAATAGTTCAGAACTTAAGAGAACTTCTTTAACTTTTTGACTTTTAATTGCATGTTTTCAAGATTTTTGACCTAATGCTAACCTTAAGAACTGGTTTTACAGGAGTGGTGTTACAGCATATCATAACTCTTTAAATCACTTAGTTAGTAACTATTAGAAGGATGAACATCAGAAACTATTCTTTAATTTAGCCACAGATTGAGAAAATATGCCAGAATTACATGCAAGCAACTGAAAACGGGACCTTTATGCTTCAACAGCCCTTTCCAAAGGGTTGCATTTTGATTTAAGTGAACATTCTGTTTGAGAAGGCTTTCCTTAAATGGTGTCAGATAACTGATGATGTATTATCTGCCATGATTTGAAGAAAATATTACATGATCTACTGTTTAAACTGGTGCATTTAGCAGTAATCTTTGTTCGAATCTTAAGCAAAAGCTAGATTTGGTCCTAACACTTTTGCTTCAAGCCAGTAGGTACGAAGCACTCATGACCAGGTGTCCTGTTGGCTGTAATAGTGAAGACCTGTTTACACCCTCTTTGAAACTTGATGAACTAGTTACATCAGTCACTCTTAGTGCAAAATGGAAAATATAAAAGGGGTTGCAGTAACAGTTAAAAATATCAAATTTTGGTTTGTTTGGTTTGGTTTTCTTTAGAAATAGAGATGGTAATCATGGAGCGATGTAAACTGTCAGAATTATCTATCTCTACTGTGACAGAACAGAATACAACAGATGAAGAAAAGAGTGCAGCTGCCTCTGGGAGTGAGATAACAACCTGGAACAGGTATAAAGGAACTGTAACATACTTTGTTGGATTGCTTCCTTGCTTGCCCTTCTGTTACCTCTCTCACTTCTCTTAAGTGGTGTCTCAAATCTTTCTCCAATTAAAATTACAGGAGTTCTTGTGGATTACAAATAAGTGAGGCAACAGAAAAATGAGCTATGGCCTGTCCATTGATCATTTTTGGAAATGGTCCTGTTCCTTTCTAAAGTTTGTCCTTTCCTTTATTGCAATTGTGATGACTTAGGTTGGTAAGGTTAAATTACAGAATATTAACACAATAAAACCCTAACATAAATGCTTTCATTCCAGAACTTTCTAAAACTCTAAATGAAGCCAGAAGTTGTTTTCTTAATGATATTTATGGTCATATCGGTCAATTTTGTATACACCTATAGGGGAAAAAACCAAGGAAAATTCCTCAGTAGAGGGCAGAATTTTAGTAGTAGTAGTGGTGTTGGTGGTGGTAGTAGTTACAAATAAACCCTACTAACCTATGTACAGTTTCCAAGCTCTGTTAGTATATATATGAAAACCTCTCTTGGAAATGCAATTTCTAAGTGTTTCTGGGAGCAGAAATTTCCTTGACTTCCAAATTTTAACTTTGACATATTAAGTACAAGACAGACGCTCTCCCAGTAATAATTTTGTGTGCTTGTTATTAGAATGCTAAAGAAAAGAAACTGAGCATGCCATCTCTGACACAGAATAGTAATTGCTAATGTGCCCTTTGGGGAGATGCACACGTTTAATAGGATTTCAGATTTATTTTTCAACTTGGGAAATGCTGCCTGGTATTCCCAGAATTTCATTCTGTCTCCATTATAGTTTTGCTGTAGCTTAGATTACATTCATTAATAAAGATAACATTTAATTTCATTGTAAAAGTGAAATAGAACCTTGACTTGAACTCGCTTTAAAACGCATTGTACTAGCTTATTGATGTTTTGACTAAATTATGTGCCAAATGGCTTTTAGAAAGAAATTGGCACTGACTACATTGAATACTAAAGCAACTAGGATGTTCAGGTCTTGGAAAGTCCAAACACTTACATGTGAGGTGCCAATGTATTTGGCAAATGTCAGTGTTTCAGAACTCTCTTGAATTCTGAAGATACAGTCTGACAGCATCCTGCATCTTTTCTAAAAATAAATAGCATCAAAGAATATACCGTGCTAAAAATATTTTAAAAATAAGGATAGACCTTGTGTAGGGCATTTCTGGCCTTAGTTTTGTACATGAATTTTTGGACATATAGGTGGACAGGCTGCTGTAACTTCTAAGCTTTTGTGTTATTCTATATGGCAAATGTAAAATTTGAATCAGTACCTAAATCTCTCAATAAATTTGCTCCAGTGTGAATAGCTTCTTTCCTACGCTGCCTGGAATCGCTGAGTCTTGTGGATAAGGTGCCATGTGGTCGTAGAAGAATGCAGTGATCTTTTACTCCATGCTTGCAGTGGGAGAAACCTCCCGAACTGGAACAGTCATTAATGATTGTGATGATTGTGATTCCTAATGTGTTGCAGTCTTCAGTTGTGGACACGCTCCACAAGAATCAATAATTTGAGGAATAGTTTTATGCCATTTGCTCTGTTTCTTCTATCAGGTCACTAGCAAAAGGCTAGTAAAGGAAGAAAATGTTTACAGAATTAAGAAATACATTTGAAAATACTTGCCATATAGCCTTCAATATTAAATAGTGGGGTTTAAAAATTGTCCAGCAGTTGTTGAAAAATGAATGGGAAACCACGCACTTTGCAGTTAAAAATCTGTAGCTGTAAAAGGTAAGCCCAGCTTTCACTTTTCCTTAGCACTTTTTCAGCTGTGAAGACCATACAAGTAAGTTTAATTATTTTTGGTGTAATTTTATTCTGATTTGCCTCGCTACTGGAGAGTTTAAGACTACAGGCTTGTTTTAAATTAACTTCCTTTTATGAAAAGCTACAGAGCAAGCTGAACTCTTTGTGATTGTAAAGCAACCTGATTTTGGATGTCAGGAGGTTTGTAGGGCTTATTTAATGCTCAGGACGACGGAAGACACTCTTGGTTTACTTCCAACATTGCTAGTTCTTTAGGCTGTTCAATAATTACTTCTTAATCCAATAATTGTGTTCTTTTGAGGTCTGTAGCACGGCCATCGTGGGAAATTTGGCTTAGGTACATGCAGCAGTGTTGAAGTTGGGCAAAGAGGGATCGTAACTCAGCGCCTTTCAGGATATCATAGAGGAGAGGATGCTCGTAACCAAACTCAGCAATGTACAGATGTATGACTGCATCGTCCCAGGTTGAGCAGAGGAGCAGTGTATTCTGTTATTCTGGCCATAGCCTTGTTCTAGTAAAAGAGAGCATGTTATTGAAATGTGCCTGGAGCTGATGGGAACTGTTACGACTTCTTTTGAGTGGCTTACTGGGATATGCTAAGTGTGACCATGATTGCACCCCAGGTCTGCAATAGCTACAGCAGTGTGTTATTTGAATGCCTTTTATTTGGATGTAATTTAGGTGATAAAAAGATTTTTTTCCTTCATTGTTAAAAGGAACACTTTGAGGGGTTGGAATTACCTCTTTTTGAACACGGTTCTAAACTTCTCGTGGCTCTGACACTTCCCTGAATATTTTTTTTTGGTCTGTCCAGATCACCCGTGAGAATGGATTTAATTTCTGCTTGCGCACTGAACTGATTGGATGCAAGCCAGCCTAAGACAAAAAACCAAGTTGCCCTGCCGTCAGGCTTGTGCTAATATTAACTGAATGTCAGCCGTATCTGGTCTGTCCAAATGGCTTCTGGATTAAATTGACTTTTCTGGCCTGTTCAGGGTACAGGCGAAGGGCAAACCTAGCACTGTTTGTAGCTTCCTTTTAATCTGTTGTAGGTCACAGGAAAACAAAGCTCACCTGCAGTCCAGAGCTTGCTTTTTTCCATTCAAATGTTCATCCCTTGTTCATTTTTCTTTCCTGTAACCGTTCAATGGTAAAGGTTTTAACTGAGTGTTTTAACCTAGCTTCCTCCAAACTTAGGATGAAACCTGATTTCTTGTAATAGCAAAGACTTTTCAACTCCACTTAGTACATGACTTTTTAGGTACTTTTTTAATGCAACAGTGAGATTCTTGAAGTTACTTATGTATACACTTAAAACAAAATATAAATTGCTTCTGCTTATGTACTACAGGTGGTACAAATAACCCAGTAAATATGTGAACAATCAGTTCTTGGGAAAGTGATCCATAACAAATGCCATTAAAACATCAGAATTAATGGCACAATGTAAATACAAGGCATGTATCTGAGTACTCTTAAACAGGTTAAGTTTTGTGTAATGCCTAAAAATGTTCATTACTGTAAGTCTGCCTCTTCCATTAGCTCCATGTAGATCAAGATAGTTACTCATTTATCTGTAGATACAGTCTTTTTCTTAACCATTTTATAATTATTCCTTTCCACAGGCCTTTTCTTGATATGGTCTATAATGCACTAGACTGTGCTGAAGATGATTACTATGCCCTCTTTGTGCTCTGTCTTCTGTATGCAATGTCACACAACAAAGGTAAACAAGTTCTGCTTTTTCCAGAGAAAACTAAATAAGATGCATGTTTTTAGACAGCTATGATCTGTTTTTAACTTATGTTTATACATGCCTTGAATGATGAGGAATTCTTTACATGCGGGAGGCAGGCATGTATGCTGTAAGTCGCAGAATCCCAGGATGTCAGGAGTTGGAAGGGACCTGGAAAGCTCCCCCAGTGCAACCCCTGCCAGAGCAGGATCACCAGAGCAGTCACACAGGAACACGGCCAGGGCTTTGGGTGTCTGCACAGAAGGAGACTCCACAACCTCTCTGGGCAGCCTGGGCCATGCTCTGCCACCCTCACACTGACAAAGTTTGTCCTCATGTTCAGCTTGAACCTCCTGTGCTCCAGCTTGGGACCATTGCCCCTTGGCCTGGCATTGGACATCCCAGAGCAGAGCCTGGCTCCTTCCTCCTGACACTGCCCTTTCCAAATGGTTCCCCATGAATGAGGGCACCCCTCAGTCTCCTCTGCTCCAAGCTCAAGAGCCCCAGTTCCCTCAGTCGCTCCTCAGCAGGAGATGCTCCACTCCCTTAATCATCTTGGTGGCCCTGCTGGACTCTTTCAAGCAGTTCCTGTCCTTCTTGAGCTGAGGGGCCCAGAACTGGACACAATATTGCAGATTGTCCAAAACAAAAAAAAGTCCAAGCAGTTGCTAAGGAGTCACCATTCTAAGAACAATTTTGTAGACAGTTTTGTGAACCTCAGTTTTTCTTTCATAGTTTTCTTGGTACTGGCATAGGATTACTGTGTTTCATTTTTAATCTCTCAATTTCAGTTGAAGTCCACTATATTCAATCTACATATGTATGGAATACAGTTCTTTCCCACCTTTGCATGGTTGCTACATGTAAGCCAAGTATAAAATATTGTAGAAGTTGACCCCATATGTTAAAATTAAGTCTTTGTATACTTAAAACATACTTAATACACGAGGCCTGAGAATCAGGTGTAATGATGGTAGTCATGGATTGCCTATTTCTCTCCAACTTTGACAGGTTGTCTTTTTGACAGTGTAATTTTTTTTTAATACTGTGCAATTTCTCAACAGCCTTCTCATCCGTTGTGCCATAATGGATTGAAAACTTTGAGTTGTCAGTGTTCTGTGCCATAATACACCTTGGAAATCTTCCAAGGAGCCTGGGCTGTTTTACAAAGCAGCAAATCTACTTTAAATGTGTAGTTCATTATAATTTGGACAGTATGAGAATACTGTAACCTTTTGTAAGGCATGACTACGGTTAGCTCTTTTGCTGTTTATCTTTGTGTGCGTTTTAAATAGATTCTTTATGGAGGAATAATGGAAACATCTCATACATGTGAATAATCATGTTTCAGGAATGAAGAGCTGATTTTAAGTTATTTTCTGCTTATGAGGATAGTTTCTGTAACATAATAGTAATGTAAATGAATCAACTGCTACGGTAAACCGAGCAAAAGAGCATGAGGTGTCATGGCACGCTTAAAAGTAAGGATTCTGTGCTAGCTTCAAGGTGGCTCTAGTGAGCAAGGAGAGCGGAGATGAGTCTTGAGGGCATCCTCTTGATGATCCAGAATGAAGGAATGCTTCTCTGAGATTATAATTTGCAGTCAGCTTCAGGGCTTTCACAGTCCCTTGTGACAAGAGATGATAACATGACTAATATCACCAAAGACAGCACCACAACCTTGCCATGCTCTGGCCCTCTCTGACTTTCGTCTCTGATTTCCCACTACCCCCTGCAACCAGAATACTTCCAGAAAACGTTTTTCCCTGAGGGATTTTTGAGCATCACTGTGCTAGAAAGCCCTGATGTCAGACATGGATTCTCTTCCCTTAAAATTCATTAGTTGAAGCTATGAATAGCCAGAGTCATTAGCTGCAGCTGTTGCAGCTCCAGAGAGTCCCCAAACATCCTTTAACATCATCCTAAAAGAGTAAGCCTGCACTCCAGGGTTGTATTTCTTAAGAATTCTTCTATTTAAGACCATAGCCCTTCAGCCCACTGTATTTGCTTTCTGTGTAATTAGTCACTCTTCAATATCCTATTCCCAGGAAAAAAAGATCTGTTATCTTCTCTTGTTTCAAAGGTTATTTGCTTACGCCTATAGAACTAACGTAAACAGTGAGGAATGCAGCAGATGCAGCCTCTTGCTGCTTAGTTTTGGCAACGTGTGCTCTTTATTTTTCACCTAGGGTTTTATCCAGGGTTGCCAAGAGAGATACAAGAAGCAGTGAAGTACCTGCCTTGTAAGAGACTAAAAGTATCCTGGCCCTGAAACTGGAAAAACCTTTTCTGCATTTAAGGGTTCAAAACCTACACTTCATTCTTTGGTGGTCACATCAGCCCTCTCTAAATGAAAAATTATTTAGGCTGCATTCATTGGCTTTCCTTGTCAACAATTTACATTAGCCTGTTGCTCTTTGGAAGCTCTTCTCCTTTCTCCCCCTGTCATTGACCCTGGATCTTAAGTGCTAGACAGGTAATGACATCCAGTTTTGGTTTTCCTCTGTCTTTCACCACCCACTCCTCTTGTGCCCTGTAATAAGGTGCATGAAGGCCACAGAATCATTGCCTCCCTGTCTTGCAGAGGAGGGGTTTTACAAGTCGCTGGTTTAGTGCTCCTGTTTGATGCAATAGCAGAATGTTCTTTACAAGCTTTACAACTGAACAACTGCTCCGTCCTACACCAGATTCAGTATCAGGTATGGAAGGTGCATCAGGATTGAGCTGGAGCCAATGTTGTTATCCCCAGTTTCTGGAAGTGATAAATCTCTAGGAGTTGTGTGTCTAGGATCTGCTTATCTATTTACTGCCTATCTGACAGAGATGGTAAATGCTCTCATGAGCACATGAATTGCTACAAACAAACAGGTAATGAATTGGAAATTTAGGATGATATATGGTGACTGAATGCAACACAAGTCCTCTCTGCACCACAGGAAAATGAGTTGCAGTTTTCTGTTTCAGTATATTGGCTTTTTCGGGTATGTTCCTAATCCTCTAGCTGATCAGTTTGAATTTCACCTTTCCTTCCATCCCACTCTTTCTGGCACTGTGGAGAAGGCTACAACAGAAGACATTCAAAAAAATCTGACTTGCCCTATCTTAACCAAGAACTTCGGTTTCAGGCCTTGCTTCTAAGGGAGCAGTCTTCAGTCTCTGTCCCTAGATGTGGAGACCCTATTAAGGCTTTTGATTGTGACTCCTTCCATTTGGATAGTGAGTCTGCATTTTGTATCATGTTCTTGAACAAGTCTAAAGAAAATGGGCTTGTTTTTCACCAGCAAGAAATAACAGTACGAAGAGGAAGAGAGGTACATGTATGCAGCTAAATCTGTTGCAATTTGTATCAGGAGCCCTTCCTATATGTTTCTAGACCATGTACCGTATCTGAAGGATACAGAACTCTGCATCCTTGGCAGGCAGACAACTATATGAAAGACACTGAATATTAATTCTTTCCCTGGGATTTCAATTTAACCACTTTGTTGAATACCTGCCTGGCCCTGCATCATTCCTTCCCCATGTTCTCTTAGTCTCCTTAATGGTTTTCTGCTGGTTAATGACCATGTCCTTCTGTGAGAATTTAATCTGCATATAGATACTCTCTAAGAAATGTTACTCATAAGCAGCTTTCATTTCTAGAGGGAAAACTATAGCTCTTTACTAAAGTGTTAGTAAATGCTCTGCCCTGGTTCCTTAAATGCTTCCTTCCCTGTCATCCCTTTCTTCAGTCTCATAGTGACAAAGAGCATTGTATCACTGTCAGTAATCTTCAAACAGACCTTTATTAATTTTCCAAGTTCATGCGCTTAGTGAAAAAATAAATCAGATGTCACAGATGGTGGTGATGTGTAGAGTTAACTACGAGTTCAGGGTTGGAAGGAACTATAAACCGCAACATAGTCATCCTCTGTTTTGTGAGGTTTTTTATTACAGTTCTTTAGAACAGGGACAGGGAGATCCTCAGCAATCCGTAACTGTTTTGTTCTAAAAGGTCTTACAGTAACAAGTCTGTTCTGAGGAATAACTTTGCTGTTTTAGAGCAACAGTTTGAAGAAAGATGGATGTAGTTTCCTTACACAAGAAGTAAGTGAGAATCTGTGATTTGCGTTGAGAAGGGTGCTGAATAAAAGGCTGTTACAAAATAAAATTCCCATTTTTAGAAAAACATATGTGAACTGATCACCAGCTGCCAAGGTGGAATTTAAAATCAGACTTTGGTCTTTTTCCTCTTTAGCCTTTACGCTCTTCAGATGTATGGCTTAACTTTGGTTTAATTTAGATGCAGATAGTCTGAGAATTACAGATGCAGCAAAATGGTTTGGATATCACCAACCACTTTGAGATTTGAGTGTCTACAGCCAGTAGGCTCCATTTAAAGCTGAGATTTTTTTTTTCAGCGATCCATAAATGCTCTTACTCTTCCTGTTGTTTCTCATTTTTGAGGTCGAGAGAGGTTCTCCTCCCCCTCTACTCTGCCCTGGTGAGACCGCATCTGCAATATTGCATCCAGTTCTGGGCCCCTCAGTTCAAGAAGGACAGGGAACTGCTGGAGAGAGTCCAGCGTAGGGCTACAAAGATGATTAAGGGAGTGGAGCGTCTCCCTTATGAGGAGCGGCTGAGGGAGCTGGGTCTCTTTAGTTTGCAGAAGAGGAGACTGAGGGGAGACCTCATTCATGTTTATAAATATTTAAAGGGTGAGTGTCACGAGGATGGAGCCAGGCTCTTCTCGGTGACAAACAATGATAAGACAAGGGGACACAAGCTGGAACACAGGAGGTTCCACTTAAATTTCAGAAGAAACTTCTTCTCAGTGAGGGTGACAGAGCACCGGAACAGGATGCCCAGAGAGGTTGTGGAGTCTACTTCTCTGCAGACATTCAAAACCCGCCTGGACGCCTTCCTGTGTAACTTCATCTGGGTGTTCCTGCTCCGGCAGGGGGATTGGACTGGATGAGCTTTTGAGGTCCCTTCCAATCCCTAACGTTCTGTGATTTTCCTCGTGATAGAAATTAAAAACTAACTTGCCTGGTTTTGTATTGCTAATTACCCTCTTCTGAGAAAACTGCTACTGTCTATGAAATACTTGCCTTGAGGCATAATCCTGTCTTCTAATTTAGCTTTCTCCTTTCATCCTTCACAAAAGGAATTGACCCAGTCAAGCTGGAGAGAATCCAACTTCCAGCTCAGCATGCTGAAGAGAGAAATTCGTATAATCACGTACTTGCAGAAGGGCTCATCAGAATAATGAATTATGCTGCACAGCCAGGTATCACTTTTCCTATATTTGTTTTCTTGCTCAGCTGAAACTTTTGAGAATATATATA